TATATATATATATATATATATATATATATATATAAACACATGCTTCAAGAAATGTACTTTAAAGTTAAGTCATCTCCCTAAGAAATATGGAATCATTACGGTAATACTAACATTCTGCACTGAAATATAAATTTTGAAAGCCATAACACTATATTGATGTCAGTGTTAGTGCGCTAAGTTACATAATATTTGTTTGAAAGAAAAATGCATAATATGAGGGTGATTCATAAAAAAAATTAGCTATGCGTTAAGGCAAGTTAGACTATAAGAAGGTTATCATTGCATGTAAGTGGATGATCCTCTTTCCACATTGAAAACTCCATGGAATGATGATTGATAAATCACCATGATCAGTTAGTCAGAATATCATGAATCTGTTATCCTAATTCACTAAGCTCGGCTTCATTTAGTCTTGAAGGCTGCCTGGTTAGCCTGACCGTGAGAAACAATCAGCTAGCAATTATCAATTATATATCTAGAGGAAACTCATAATCTCAAATCAAGGAAGACAAGGAAGAGATATAGATTCATAGATAAATGAATTTACTTAGTAAAAGTGAAAACAATATATGATTTATAATCTGTAGAGGTATAAAGAAAACCTGCAAAGAGTGGATACATAAAACTCGACTGTATGAGTCAAATCTAATTAATGGGGCTTACAATCTTATCTGGATCAAGGCAGCCACTTTCTGAGCTTGCTTTTAAGCGAAAATCTTGATATGTTTAATTAATCACGTAGGTGGTAGAGAAGATAATGAAAGTGCCCCTGGATGCATGTATGCATGCGAAAATATTTATAATTAAGTGAAGGCTTTAGCTATATTCAAGAAAGGCCATGATTTATGCGCCAGTTATGATTTAGTGCTGATAAGCTCTGTTTTGTATCTTGTCTGAAGGACACAACATAACTAAAACTATTTTATAAAGTTCTAGGACTAATGCAATTTTTTTCATTTTGATTTTTTAGAAGGCCTATATAAAGTTGATTAACAGATTATTTGAACTTGTGGAAAATGACTTCTTGATGAGCCTAGACACATGGTTTCTAAGCAAAACATAGCAAAAGAAAATGTGAAACTCTTGATGCAATTCAAACACAGTATAAAAGAAAATTGAGAACGAATGCAGTTGGGTTTGTGGATATGATTACAATGACAATAGAAAAATACAGATAGGCTTTGTATAAATAATCTAATCCTAGTTTTGCACATATATAGAATATGCTAGAAACTTGCACACGAGCATAAGGGGCAAGTACTGGGTTTCCTTTGCTGTTGTCTTTTACTTCCTAAATCATCTTGTATGCTTCTAATTAGGGGTGTAAAGAAACCGAACACAAACGAACGAAGCTCATGTTCGTGTTTGGTTTGTTTGAAATTACGTGTGTTTGAAATAGACTCGTGTTTGAAATTGTTCGTGAAGTTATTGTTCGTGTTCGGTTTGATTTGTTTGAAATATGTTTCAAATGTTTGAAATATTTGAAATATTCGAATTGTTTGAATTATTCAAAATCTTACAAATTTATTTGTATTGTTCGAATTGTTCAAAATCTTTCAAATGCTTAAACCTATAAAAAATTAAAGCTTAAACCTATATGAATCACAATACAAATGCAAAATAGCTAATGCACAACTCACTATAAAACTATAATATCATATCTCATTCATAAAAAAATCTGAACTATAGGCAATAAGCGAGCTTTTACTCCCAAAAACTATATTTCACTCAAAGAAATTAAATAAATCTAAAAGAAATATAAGAAAATTTAAGCTAAGAGATAAACATGAAGATAAAAACGAAATTATAAGATTTAATATAAGCTAAGAGGCGAACCTAAAGCCAGAATATAATTTATAGGATTTAATTTTTTAAAATAGGATAAATTTTTAGACAATATAATTATTTTTAAAATATTATAAATTTTTCATATTTAATTATTTAAAATTATTTTATATTTCGAACAATAACGATTTGAACATGATCGACAAATGATTGTTCGTGTTTGGTTCGTTTATAAACCGAACAAAAAAAATTTGTTTGTGTTCGTCTCGTTTGCTTATGGAACGAATCAAACACGAACTCTCCGACGAGCCTAACACGAATTGTTCGCAAACAACGAGCTTTTTTGGCAGCCCTACTTCTAATGTCTGAATTGAAAGATGCCTCTGGATATGTAAAGTGTGCTAGTTGGAAACCCTTGCTTGTAGCTTGTTTCACTCATAAGACTTTTTAGCTAGAAAGAATGTATATATGTGTATATATGAGTATATGTATGTTTGTATGTGTGTGCGCGCGATAAAGTTAAGTATAGAGGAATATCGAGCATTGCACATACTTTCTCTGGCCTATCAAATAGTTTAATAATATACACACAAAGAAAAAAACTTGTATGTGTGTGTGTGTATGGTTGAGTGTATTAAAGAAATAGGAATATCAAGTAATACATAGATTTTCTGTCCTATCGAATGTTTTAATAATATATACAGAAAGTGAAAAAGAAAAAAAAAACATTATAAACTACTGTTTGAAGTAGCTATCAAATGCATTTTTGGTATTTTTCTTATAACACACAAAGCAAAAAAAACTTGTATATGAATTTATTGTTTGTTGTAGCTATCAAATGCATTATTGGTATGTTTTTTTTCTTATAGCACAGCTCTTGTAGAAATTAGTAGCTTTTTAGTTATGTGTAGAACACCTTTACCATAGATCCACCTATAATGCAAAATAATATTTACCACAGATCCACCTCTAATGCAACAATGGCATAACAGAGGCACGAGCGAAAAATAGCATAATCAGCCACATAACATTAGTCAAATTATCACAAGAGCATAGTTGTGGCAGTAATAACCTGAATCTACTCTAAGCTAAACAAAAAATGTGTCTATAATAGCATCTAGTGTGTGTAAGTTCAAAAAGGTTGTCAAAGGTTTACTTATATTAGTTTGTCTTAAAAATCAAATTAAATTTAGGTCTTTTACATAAAATTTATTGAATTTAAAAATTTATTTTGAAAAGGAAGTATTTGATAGGGTTAAAAGATATTTGAAAATAGATATATAGTATTATATTTTTTAAAAGACTTGAATTAAAGGTTATTTTAAATGTGTAAACTTACTGATGGTATAGATAATAGATTTCATTTATTAAATTTAAGATGATATTCTCTAGGTTATTTGTATTCTTGACCATTCATATGTGATTTGAATACAATGGAATGAATATCTTTGTCAGATAAAACTCAAGATTCAAGTGTTTAAATGCGATTAGTGTTTCAATGTGATTCTTACTTTAGCATATACAGATATACAAATATATACACATACAAATATATACAGATATACACATATATACATATATTACATGTACATGTATATAAATATATATATACATATGTGTGTGTGTGTGTGTCTATATATATTGAGTAGTATTTCAAGTCAAAACGAGCCGAGCACGAGCTTCTTAAAGAGCAGAACACGAGTTGTTCACGAACAACGAGCCATTTTGACAGCCCTAGGTCTAGGTATTCATGTATTTTGATAACCTTTTCCATTAACTTAACATAGCATTTTAAAAATTTTAACCTTGAATTTGTGTTGTTGGATAGAACTTCTAGTGTTTTAACTCATAATTAAAATATTATTGTCCGTTAATTATATAATGTGTTGAATCAAATGTAACTTCTAAGCCTTTATCGCAAGGTCGACGAATTCAAATCAAGTTTTTCTTTAAATTACAAATTAACAAAACTGTATCAAAGATAGTTCATTTCGTGCAATTTTTTCCTTTAACATCATCTCTATAGGCAATAAATTCTGAATCTTTTGATTCAATTGCCGTGAATTTACATATTTATGTAAACATGTACCTAGAGCTATTATTCTAAGTATCACATGCCTTCATTTATTTCTCTATCGAGATATTCTTATATAAGGAAACCAAATAACTAAATTGGGAACCCAAATATGTTTTGGTCCATGTTAATCAACATATTATTTAATCTGGTACAATAGCAAACACCTACAATAGCAAAGAATTTAGTGAATCATGCCCAGCATACTCCAGATTTATTTCCTTCAACGGGGAGGTTCTCTGAAGAAAAACAGCTACAATAGCAAAGAATTAAGGAATCAAGAGTAACAAGGTGCGAGTCTCCATGATTTATTCAGCTCTGAAGTTTAATCCAAAGCTAAAATGCCAAGGGAATGTACGTTGAACAAAGTGATTCTCCTCACAGAAAAGCTCTCTTTTTACTGCCTTCCTCTTGGCCAGTGCTGTTCTCCTCCTCGGTGTCTACACTGAGCCTCTTGAATGTTACAGCTTCGGATCCCATTTTGCTGCAACTCTGTGTTCTTGCCTTGAAAATGCTGCAAATCGCAGTAGATGCTTTCGAGTTGAAGTCGATCTGCAACCCGAGAGTTTTATCAATCAACTATAAGTTAATCATTGATTATGTCAGCAAAATGATCATAAGCATGAAGTTAATATAGAATCATTGAGCTGACAGGGATTTTGTGATACCTTCACTAGAATATTTTGTACCTTCAAATTGAAGAGGAAATTCTTTATGGTATTGTTCAGCTCGCCAAGCGCTCTGTGCTGATATAGATGGCATCTGCTGTAGTTGTTGCCACTTTTCTGCAGTATCGAAACCATACAGATAGCCTGGTAAATATGGATCTGGTTCAAGGTTTTGTAAATCAGCATCGCTTTTGACATTAGGATGTCCACAAGTCATGCCACCAGTCCCCTCCTCCAAATCAGCATCGTTTTTGACATTAGGATGTCCCCAAGTCATGCCACCAGTCGCCTTTTCCAACTGTTCAGTCAAAAGGAAAAAAAGTAATGAATTATTTCTCCAACAAAGATGATTCATGAATTTGATAACAGAAGAAGAAAGAGAATCAAGAGTGCTTTTCCTTTCCAGTTGTTGAAATGAGAGAACTAAAGAACTTGTAGTAAAACCAATAGGTAGCATACCATAGATTCAAAGAAGCTTTTCACACAATATTGTCTACGAAATCATTTCTGGTTTTAATGATTAGATGGAGAAAGCGCCATGGAAGCTTCTGTGATGTGTTAACGATTTGTATAATTTTGTCATCAGTGAAGGAGTGGATGACAGTTATTCCATAATCTGTTCGTAAATATCTCGTCTAAATTATTTGGAAACTTATAAGCTCCCTGTCATCAAAAACAAAGAACACAGAGACAATGAAATCCAGTGGATTGAGAATCTATCTCAATATGTTTAGTTTGTACATAGAAAATAGGATTTGAAGCAATATAAATTGCAGCTTGGTTATCACACCACAACATAATCCATTTCAATCAAGAATTGAGAATCACATCAATTCACTCGAAACTTATGCCACTGCAGCCAGAAATCTGTCACCGCACCTAGATAGGTGTGGTTTGACAATGTTGTTTTTAATATTTTGAAAACACATTAGCTGTCAAAACGCAGTTTACCCAAACAGACCAGATGCGTTTTCAAAACGCCGCCGCACCAAATAAGCTGCCCCAAACGAGCTCTTACTTAAATCATCAAATTTTTTACTTATTGTAAGCACTATTATATTCTCAAACATAAGCTAAAAATCAAATTTTCTTTTATATTTTTAAACTATTTACCAACAAATGAATCACCACCTTGAGGCTTAAATACGATATAACAAAGTTTAAAAAATAGCATTTTTTTTACTATACTCGTAATATTTTAGAAATCTTCAAACCATTGTAAATTAAATTGTTGTGCAATATTACCGGTCCCCAAATATGTTTCATAAACTCTATCTCTTTCAATATCATCATAGCTCCAAATTGAAAGTCGAACCTAAGATTAGCTATAAGATTATCAATATCAATCTTTAAATATTTTTTCCTCTTCGAGTATTGATTCATTTGAACTATTAAATGAAAACTAATATTCACCTTTATATAATTAGATGATTATTGAAAAG